ATTATTGAGGAGAAGCCATTCAAATGAGGCAAGGGGTCAGGTTTCAGGGGCTGAGTCTAGCTTCCTGATGTCTGCTGTCAGCAGGTTAACTGACACCTAGGTAGGCCACACCCAAGGGCAAAGCAAGAGAAGGGGACACACAAAGGGTGCTTCCATGGAACATTCTATCCCAAACAGGGCAAGGGGTAGGATTACAAAGGAACAGGTGAGCATAGCTCCACCCAGGGGGCTGTAGGAAGGTGCACCCAGGCACGAAGAAGACAGTCACTCGAACCCTAAAGACTGAGGCTGTGGTCTGGGTTCCCTAGGCACCAGATCGCAGAGTGACCGACAACGATGCCACACCAGTCAGAAGGGGAGACAGACATGGTCACGTGTTAGTTTGGCCTCCCACAAGGTCAGAGCCTCCAAGACCTACCTCTGAGCACTGCTGCATCGAGACCCCAGCCCAAACCACAGGAGCCTTTGGGAACTTTCAGACTCAAGCCATATCAGTATCAAACCAGCAGGCACAGAGTCACCCACAGCACTCCTGCAGCATCTCACCGTGTCCCTGGGGTCTGTGGAAATGCCCCTCCTTCACCTCTGATGTCAGTAACCTGTGTCCTCCTTTTTCCCGGTAGTTAAATTGTCAAGAGGCTTACCAGTTTTATCATCTTTTCAAAGAACCAGCTTTTTAGTTTTTTGTTGTTTCATTTCCTGTTCATAATCTAGTTTTCTTCTCTTACATTGCATTTAATTTGCTTTTCTTTTCCTTGGATTGCTGGCTTTAGACCTTTTTTCCTGATATATGCATTCAGTGTTTTAAATCTCCCTCTGATCACAGCTTTCACTGTATCCCACGAACTTTGTTAAGCTGTATTTTAATTTTTTGAGACACATGTACATATCCCCTGAGATTTGCTCTTTGACCCATGTGTTGATGGAAGCATGCTAACTTCCAAGACTTCAGGGATCTCTAGCTACCATTCTGCTATTGATTGCTAGTTTAATTAGATTGTGGTCTGAAAGTGCACATTTATGATTTCTATTCTTTAAAACTTGTTTAGTGTACCTATGGCCCAGAAGGTTTATATTCCATGAGAGTTTGACCAAAAAACAAACAAAAAAACAAAAAAACCCTGTATTCTGCTTTTGTTGGCTGCACTAGTGCACAGATGTCAATTACATCCAGTCAACTGATGACGCCAATGAGATCCACTATGTCCTTATTGATTTTCTCCACGATAGATCCATTTCTGATAAAAGTGTTGACGTCTGCAATTAAAACAGTGAATTAATGTATTTCTTGCAGGTCTATCGGTTTTCTTCGTGTTCTGAAGCTTTGTTCTTCAGTGCATGCACATTGAGGATCACACATCTTCTTGGAGAACTGGGCCCCTTATCACAACTGAGCCCTGATAATTTCCTTTGCTTCAGAAGTTAAATGTCTGAACTAATATAGTTACTCTAGCTTTCTCTTTCTTCAAGGTTAGCAGGGCATATCTTTCTCTGTACCATTACTTTTAATCTTTATGTCTTTATTAAGTGTTTTTCTTGTAGACAGGTAATTGGGTTATGTTTTTTGACCCATTCTGACAATCTGTCATTCTAACTGGTGCATTCAGACCACTGACATTTTTTTAGAATATTTATTTATTTATTTATTTTAGTTTTCGGCAGACACAACATCTTTGTATGTGGTGCTGAGGCTTGAACCCGGGCCACACGCATGCCAGGCGAGCGCGCTACCACTTGAGCCACATCCCCAGCCCTCAGACCACTGACATTTGAAGTGATCACTGACATAGTTTGATCACAATCTCTAAGATTTACTGTTTCTATTCATCACCCTTGTTCTTTGTTCCAATTTTCTACTTTTTTCTTTTTATGGTTTGAATTGTGCATTTTCAATGACTCCTTTCTTTCTTCTTAACATATCGATTGTACTTTAAACAACATTTTAAAGGTAGTTGCCCTAGAGCTTGCAATACCCATTTACAACAAACCCAAGTCCACTTCAGAGAGCACACTGTTCCACTTTATAGGTGTGCAAGTGCCTTCTGATACAGCGTTTCTGATTCTTTAGTTTTTCATGAACTCTCACCACAGGAAGCCCTGCTACTGCCATACTGAACAGGCTGTTACCTGTCAGTCAGTTAGAAGTGAGAGAAGGACGGTCCGGCTACCTCGGCGTGCTCTACTCTCATGCCCTTTATGAACTGGAGCTTCTGGCTACATCATCTTCCTTCTTTCTCAGGATCTTATTCTAACATGTCTGGAAAGGCAGTTCAACTGGTAGCAATCTTCCTCAGTCTGTTTTTCTAACAAAGTTTTTATTTTTAATTCTTAAAGGGTGCTTCTGCAGGACACAGGAGCCTGGGCTGGAGGTCTGTCTTTCTCTCCTGGTACAGTATTTCATCACTTCATCTCTTCCTGCTCAGTTTCTGAGAAGTTAGATGTGATTCGAGCCTTTCCCCCTTGTTAGGCAAGGTTTGCCTCGGCTCATTTCAAGGTTTTCTTTAGCTCTGACCTTCTGTGTGACATGTGTGTGTGACATGCGGAGGTATAGACTGTGTGGGGGTATTGTTTGTTTTGTTTGGGTATTTATCCTGTAGGTGTTCTCTGAGCTTCCTGGTCTGACATTAACTTGGGGAAAACTCTCAGCCATTATTACTTCAAGTATTCCTTCTGCTTTCTCTTCCTCCTCCTGGTTTCCCCATCATGCCCAAGTCTGCTTTCTGCCATGCCCTGGTTCCTGGCTTTCCCTCCCTTCCTCCCGCTTGGCATTTCAGTTTTGCAAGTTTCCATTCACAGAGCCTCGAGCTCAGAAACTCCTTCCTTGGCTGTGCCCAGTCTACTAAGGAACCTACTGTCAAAGGCATTCTTCATTGCTTCTACAGTATTTTAAAATTTCTATGTCTTTCTTAGAATTTCCATTTCTTTGCTTATATTACCCATTTTTTCTGGCATGTTGTTTACTTTTCCCATTAGAGCCTTTAGCATATTAATCAGAGTTGCTTTTTAATTCCTGACCTGATAATTCCAACATCTCTACCATGTTTGTATCTGGTTCTGATGCTTGCTCTGTCTCTTCAAACTATGTTTCCTGCTGTTCAGCATGCCCTGTGACTTTCTATGGAAATCCTGAAATATTTATTTCACTATAAAATATTCTAAGTAGAAACTAAATTTTCCTAGCAGATGTAACCACCGTTTACAGTTTGGTGAGTATTCTCCGGCATTCTTTTCTATGCATATAGGAACATATGCGTGCAGGTATACTTTTATACTTTTTATCCTCTATAGCTGTGTGAGGGACAGCTCTGGTGGAGCTATGGATTTAGTACCTTTTCACTGACACACAGTGCTCCTTTAGGGGCTTTCCTAAATTTACCTAATCAATTCCCTACGGAAAGGCATTCGTTATTTCAAGAATACAATTTTGTTATTACAAACATCACAATGAATATCCTTTTACATGTAACTTTGTTTTTTATGTATTTTACTAGAATAAGTTTATATAGACAGCATTTATGATTCTATGATTTAAACTTTTAAATTTGTAATACATATCACCTAACTACTCTCTACAACTGTTGTTCTGTTTACATCCCAACAGCATTGGGAGAGTGCTTTTGTCTCCATACCACCTGAGTAGTTTTAAATCCTTATCAATCTGATAATACACAAGGAATGCCTTATTCTAGTTTGGATTTTTTATTACTTGCAAGGTTGAATATTTTTCATGTTTATTAGCTATTGGGTCTCTTCTCTGGGAACTGCATTATTTTGAACAGATTTATGTAGGGAGATTTGTTTTTTAAAACGTAGAGAATGATAATCTTAAACTATGGAAATCCTTAACCCTAGGTATTACTATCAAAATTATTTGGTCCAGAAGGAACATTCTATTTTACTTCATATTCACCTGGTGAACACATCATTTGCTTAGAATCTAATTCAACAAGGTTCGTGTCCGTTGGAGAGAGAAGGCTGGTGAGTGTGCACCTCTGGAGGCCTTGCTGACACCTTAGAGAAACTCGTGGAGGTCCCTCTGGTCTCTAGGAAGGCTTTCAAAAGGGAGCCCTGAAGCCGACTGAGGGGGGGAGTGAGAGCTGAGGGAAGGTGAACAGAACTGTGGTCCCTCAGACTTGACAGCAGGGGAAGGCTGAGGGGGAGTTACTAATGGATTCCAATAAATGAAACTTGTGCAGGAGGATGGTGGGTGGCTCTTCTCTAAATGTGTGGAGGACAGATGAAGAGAACTTGTACTTTAGTATAAAAAATTCTGTTATACATAAAGAAAAGTTTCCTGAGAGCAGCCATCAGATCTTCTCAGCACCTCATGGTAAATCTGATTTGCAGGAAGCTATAAATACACCCTCAGGTCATTAGGCTGGCACTTACTGCATCGTTGTTAAAAAAGGCAACTGAGTAGAACAGGGACAAAAGGGAGACCAGGCACTAAGCGGCACCCCACTCCCCCACTCATCAAGAAGGGAAGGGAGGTGGAAGGAGGGAGCGAGGACGCAGGAAGCCCTGAGCTGTCTTCAATACCGTTTCCTCCTCTTCACTGTTTAAGCAGCGCATCCACTTGGATATTCGAGTTGGAGAACATGACCTTGATGCTGCAATTGCTCAGGCAAAGGACAAAGTTAATGAAGTTACCTTCAAGCTTGAACATCTAATGGAACAAATTGAGCAAATACTCAAAGAACAGGACTATCAAAGGGTCAGTCTGCCTACTCAGCTTATTTGATCTCTTCCTGCCGGGAATGCATTTCTCAACACAAAGCCCCAGGGAAAGAAGGAACTGCCAGTTCTTTCCTAGTGTCCTGAATAGAACCACATGGGCAGGCAGTGCGGAGAGAGGTGTTGGCTGGACTCTGCTGGGAAAGGCACTGCTCTCTTCCTATCCCTGTACCAGCAAAGCACCCACAGCAGAAGGTGGGAACTTACGGAGGGAATGAACGATGCTCCCAACACACTCCATATGTCTGTAGGGCCAAGTGGGCCCACTTTCTAGATCAGTCTGTCATTCGACCCTGCTTCCTGAGTCACTGGGTTCAGTGGGCTCAAATCTGCTCTACCACTCACCAGCTTGTGTCCTCACTAAGCTTGGGTGTCATAATCTGGAAAATAAGGACTGGAGTGAACTTAAGTAAGGCAAGAATGAGGCACAAAGGAAGAACTCCAACAGGGGAATCACCCCAATTGGGTAGGCAGTGTTTGCTCTGCTTGATGGTAGCAAATAAAATGTATGAAGTCGTAGATAAAATTCCTGTATTTCACACCAAAATGCAGTGTTTTATAAGGTTGATTTTTACTCTTTTATACTCATTTAAACAACAGATTCAAGCTTAGGAAATCACAGTACACCTTAGCATAATATATTAACTGGGTAATATCAAATATCTTGAACACATACAGCAACCTTCCCCTCCAAATCACACATTAAGTTTTTTAAGAAACTAAATCCATCCATCTCTCTTCTGCATAGGACCGTGAAGAAATTTTTCGAATAACCAGTGAAGATACAAACAGCAATGTTTTATGGTGGGCTTTTGCACAAACGTTGATCTTCATCTCAGTTGGAGTTTTCCAAATGAAGTATCTTAAAGACTTTTTTATAGCTAAGAAGCTTGTTTAAAACATTACAGGTAAAGGCAGATAATCTGCACAATGTTTGAATGAATAAACCAAATACATGCATAAATGTGTATAACTTTTTTTTTTATGGTGCTGGGGTTTGAATGGGGATTGGACCCAGGGCTTTGTGCATGTGAGTCAAACACTCTACCCACTGAGACAATGTGTATTACTTATGATTTCAAAGATACCAGTGGTTGAAATTAATGTTACAGATTGCAACATTGATAAAATATTACCTTAACAATGTAGCTTCTGAATTTTATAAAGTAAGCACATTATCTTATTTTTTTAAACTTAGTTTAAATCAGCACTGTCTAGTAGGATTACAATGTGAGCTACATATGTGACTTTAAGTTTTCTGGTCACCACAATAAAAAGGGTGTTTAAGAAAAGTAACATCAACTCTAGTGACATATATTTAACCCAATATATAAAAAATATTACCATTTTAAAACATACTCAACAGAGTTACTAATGAGATATTTTATCTTCTTTCAACCATACAACCAGGTTATAGGCTGCACTCTTAGTATCACCGATTTGGACCAGCCACCTTCCAAGCACTTAGTGGTCACTTGAGGCTCACAGCTACAGCACTACCGAGAGCAAATACACCCTGTCCCCAGGCCACATCCAAGAAATAGTCACCCTTCCCTTCCATTCTGCTAGTTCCTAACTCCCTGAGAGGCACCTTCCCCACACAAACAAGGCAATTTTCCTGAGCCATGTTTTCTCACTAGTTCTCCACCAGTTCTTACAAACAGCACAAAGCCAAGGCAGGTGCAGCATTAGTCAAGGAATGGACCTCTTATTTTAAAAGTAATGTTTGGGGGCTGGGCCTGCAGCTCAGTGCTGGCTTAGCATGTCTGAGACTGAGAATGGGATATGGGTTCAATTCTCAGCACTGCATACATAGTTTAAAAAAAAAAAGTCTATCAACAACTCAAAAATTTTTTTAAAAAATTACTTTTGTAGGGCAGGGGTTGTGGCTCAGGGGTAGAGGGCTAACCTAGCACATACAAGGCCCTGGATTCTATCCTCAGCACCACATAAAATAAATATATAAAATAAAGATATTGTGGGACTTGGGTTGTGGTTCAGTGGTAGATCACTTGCCTTGCATGCATGAGGCACTGGGTTCAAATCTCAGCACCACATAAAAATAAATAAGCAAATATATTGTGTCCATCTACAACTAAAAAATTTAAAAAATAAAGATATTTTGTCCAAATACAACTAAAAATATTTAAAATAAATAACTTTTTTGTGTTTTTAACTTTTAATTTTGAAATAATTCTAATCTCATTAGAAATTGCAAATACAGTTGAGTCCCTTCCCCCAACTATTATTTTAAAAGGGAAACAATCTTCTCAAGCCCCTTCACATATACATATGCTGGAGGCAAGCTGAGTTTCTGCCCCATCCCAATCTGCTTCTGTCCCACAGCCCAGACAGTGAGCCTGTCACTCCCAGATCCTGGTTCACTCAGTCCTCCTAAGACCAGACCTCCTGGTCCCCTGGCTCACTTTCCTTCCTCTTTGTCCTGGTAATCTCCAGGTCCCACCATTTCAAGGCTAGGACCCTGTAGCTCCCTCAGTCTCTGTGGTCCCCTAATCTCCTGCCCCTTCCCATTAGGATGGGTGTGGGAACAAGTACATGGAGAACTGCAAACATGGCATACCTTAAGGGCATCTGAGTGGCAGGCCATTCCCCTTGAGCTAGGAACATGAGACCCAGGCTGGTTACCCCATAGGGATAGCCCTGCGTGTGAGGCCATGTGTTGCAGTCCCTGCACTTGCTCCATGGCCCACTCCTTGATTGGTTGCTGCAAGGACAGTTAGCAGAAATTGCACTGGTGGCTGCTTGTAATCTGCTTAGCTACTGCCTGAGTATATATACAGGTGCAATAAAATCAGATATGCTTCCTGCTTGGTCTCCGGAGGCCTTGATTAGACACTCCGCAGCCACACTCTCCTCTACCCTGTTCCCATGGACCTCCTCACTGGGCGAGAGAGCCTCTGTCCAGATGGGTATAGCTAATTCTGGCCCCTGATCAGCCTGGTATCCATCCCTCATGTACCACCCTCAACGGGATACAGAGCCTTCCCCCCCCAACTTGGCCATCAACTCTTCCTCATCAACTCTCTCACTATGGGTACGGAGGGCTGGACCACTGTGCCACCGCCATGACCATCCACCAGGTCCCAGTGGGAATGGAGCTCACGTGTGCTCTGCCTTCTGGCCAGTCTCTGTGGTTGTCACCTTGTCCGCTTGTTCCCAGTGGGCATGGAGACAAGGCTATACCACCCTCTGCCCCATCTTCTGGCCATCCACCTCTGGCTATCCTCCAGTCATGGTGGCCATGGAGACAGGCCCCTTGCTGCTTACCCAGCAACGGGACAGGCTGATGGCCAGAAACCGAGCACTCAGGCCCCGGTGGCGCACACTGGTGGCCACCCCAGGAGGACGCAGGCTGCAGGGGGCACGCTCCACCGCAGGGGCTCATTCTGAAACCAAGCGGTTTCCAGGAAAGCAAGACGCACATGTCCCCTCCCAGCCTAAGCCACCTGTCCTTCGCTGCCCAGAAAAGCCCCAGCACCCACGGAGGGAAGAAACCCGACCGCGGATGGGCGCGGGCCCGCGCAGGCACTTGGTAGTAGACCCAGGACTTGGGCCTGCGGCCCTCTCCGAGCCTGCACAGCAGGCAGGGAGCCCCAGCCTTGGGACAGGGGGCCCTGTACAAGCAGATCAATAAAACGCTTTCTTTCCTCCTCGAAACCCTTGCTCCTGGGCCAGGGCTCAGTGGCAGAGCACTCGCCGGCACGAGCGAGGCCCGGGTTCGAGCCTCAGCGCTGCACAAAATAAACAAGTAAAGCCATGCTGTCCATCTACAACTACAAAACAATAACCAAGAAACAAAGCAAAAACTTTCCTCCTCATTGGCTTGGCAAAGGAGGCGAGGATTGAAACAGTGAAGAGGGCCGCAGCGTGGGTTTTGGCGGGACGCGCTTGGTGCGCAGGCGCGAGGGCGTGTGTGGGCGCAGGCGCAGAGCTACCTGCCTCCCCACCCACACTATAGGTACACCCTAGCGTGGGTTTGGGGTTTTGGCGGGACGCGCTTGGTGCGCAGGCGCAAGGCCATGTGTGCGCAGGCGCAGAGCTGCCTGCCGGCCTGGAAGCATATCCCAGCCTCGAGGACCTCGCGCTGTTCTGGGCCTCGCCACCAGCTGTGCAGTTGCAACAGCATGGCCAGCTGGGTGTTCTGTAACTACTGCTTCCAGTCGCCTAGAAGGACATCGTCCTTCAGCCTGACCAGCTGTGGGCACGTGTACTGTGACGCCTGCCTCGGCAAAGGTCTCGGTGGGGCCGGGCGTGCCTGAGGGGCAGAGCG